TCTCTCTCTCTCTCTCTCTCTCTCTCTCTCTCTCTCTCTCTCTCTCTCTCTCTCTCTCTCTCTCGCTTTCTCTGTGCACTTTTGGTTATGACAGAAAACGAGAATAAACCTTACCGCCGACAGCGGGAAGATTCATTCCCCTCCTTTTCATTAGCACGTTCGGTTATGAAAAAAAAAAGGAATGAATCTTACCGTGGACAGAAGGAAGATTCATTCACCTTTTTTTCATTACGATTTCGTAATGAAAAATAGGTGAATGGATTTTCCCACTGTCCGCGGTAAGATTCATTCCTGGCTTTCTGTCATATCCATACGCGCGCGCACACACACACACATACACAGACACGACGCATTTGCAGCGCCACTGCCCGACGAACGTGCCGGGACTATCTCTCTCTCTCTCTCTCTCTCTCTCTCTCTCTTTTTAAAACTTTTTTAATGAGTTATTGATTATGTAAACTACATATCCGTAAATTTTCAGAGCATTTGTCAATGCCAAAACATAATTAAAAATCGGCAAAGAGGGCGGTGTCGAAAAGGTGCTGACACACTCACTCATTTTAATTATCTTTTTATTTTTTCTTATTTTTATCATAGTCTTTATTTTCTGTATTTGATTTTTAATTCAAATTTGGTAACGAATTGGGATGTAGTGCCCAGGCAAATAATGTTTTTTTGTCCACGTTCAGCCCGAACGGCCGAACGCCTTTCGAAGGGGTCCCATACATTCGGGCGTTCGGGTTCGGGCGTTCGACCCGTCCCGAACGCCGGTAATATATACACAGGGTGGCTGGCGTTCGAGATGGGTTGAACGCCCAAACGTACGGGACCCCTTGGGGATGCGTTCGGTCATTCAGGCCGAACACAGATAAAAAAAAAAAAAAAAAAAAAATCCAAAAAATCCAAAAAATATATAAAAAAACATATGTTATGCAAAAAAAAAAACTAAACAATATTTTATTGAGCATTACATTCAAGTTCCTTACCAAATTTGAAATAAAAATAAAAAAGCAAATTAAATACTAATAAAAAAAATAAGAAAAAATAAAAGGAGAAATTAGAGGATTAAAATTAGCGAGTGCCCAAACCTGTTTTCGATACCTCCATCTTTTGCAATTTTTCATTTTTTTTTTACATAGCCAAATGCTGCAACTTACATATGTGTACTTCACATAATACAAAACTCATGCGAAAAGTTTCAAAAAATAATAAAATATTTGAGGCATAAAAATAAAATCACAACAAAATATGAAAATTGAAGGGAAAAAAAAAAAGTAGTCGAGCACGTTTTAACAATAAAATTTTTTAGGCCCCGAAATAAAGTGAAAACAAAAAGTTAAAAGTGA